TACATTTTACATTAATAAAGTGTTAACGATAATTTTAAACTAATTTATTATATAATATTACTACTAATACTGATTGATTATAATTTACATTAAATAGTATGCGGAAGTTACATACTTATAACAAATATTATTGCATTTTTTTTTTTAAAATACTTTTTCTAAAATAAAGTACTTTTTGCCTTTTAAGACGATTTTCATCTAATATTAGTTAATTGGCATGAGTGTCATAATTAGACACCTTAAAATCACATAAACAATTGCTATAACAATAATAAAAATAATTATAATACTATTCTAACTAATTAATTGTATGGTCCCTCTAAATTACAAAATTATATTGTCCACTAAAATTTATGACATCAATATAAAGATTCATACGTAAGTTAAATAATTTATATTCACATTATACATTTGTATATAGTCAAAATTTCAAATGTAATACATCCATTATCTTTATAAAAATTTAAATATTGTCATATATATAATATATCATCTTTTATTTTTCTTTGTGCATATACACAAGATGAATATTAGTAGTGTTAATTACGGTGATTTTTTGTTTGTCAACAAAAAATAAAATTGTTGAAAATGTTATTAATTATAAAAATAAGGGTGGATTTGGAAATATGAAAATATGGGATTGTTGTGGCTAGGCTCCATGTCTGTTTCCCACGGCGGTGATGATTTTGGATGTCATTCTCACTGAAATTTGCTAAATCAATTGGCTCTGAAAACTTTGACTGAATTTTTGTGTCAATGTCTCCTTATTTGTATGCATAAAAGTACTTTTTGTCCACATATTAAAAAAAAAAATAAAAAAAAAAGAAATAGTTCCTAGCAAGTCTTTTAATCTTTTGTAAACACAAACCCAAAATATAATGTAAGTCTTTTTATTTTTATTTTAAATAATACAATATCAATAATTGATTTAAATTTATTGATTGAACTTTTCAAAAAAAAAAAGAATAATAATTAACTATTTTATTTATGTGTAATATATTTTTATTTGTAATTTTAGTGATGTAGTAATAATAATATGTGATTAATTAGTAATTGTTTCTATGAAATATTTTTTTTTTCAAAATTATTAATAAGTTTATTAGTTAATATTGCATGTATAAAGCGAACTTAAATTTAACATTTAATATTGATTACTTGTCAAGTTATTTATACAATAAAACATAAATTTATGTAAAATAAAATGTATTTAGCATATAACAATCTAAAATAATAACTTTTTATTCTTCATTGATTTAAAAAATTAATACTACAAAAATATAAATAAACAATTATTTCGAAATCATGTGTATAAGCTATTAAAATGGTAAACCACTGTGTCATTTTTCTGACTGTTCTATAAATTATTAGCTTCAAAGAATTCAAAATATTTATTATATTCAAAATATTTATTATATGTATTGTTATAAATTGTTGGAAATCAATTAGTTATTCCAACTATCCTATTAATTATTAGCGTCAAAGAATTCAAAATATTTATTATATGTATTGTTATAAATTGTTAAAAATCAATTACTCATCAGTCGAACACTCATTTAAATTATAAATTTTGTCAGAATAATATTTTACTTGAAATAAATATTTCCAAAATGTATAGTCAGTTGATGTCTTAAATTAAGAACTAACGTGCTTCAATTAAAAATAACTTTTACCTAAAACCTCCTTTATTTTGTTTTTGTTGTTATTTTGGTTGGTCTTCGTTTTTGTTATTAAAGTTATTTAGGATTGTGTTTTTGGTCTGGGCCGTTGGCCTCGGTTAACTCGAGTGTCACCTTATTCTCCAGTTAGGAGCTGACACTCCGGTATTACTATTTTGGAATCTTTTTAGTTTAGTAGTTTTTTTTGTGTGTTAGTGTTTTAGTGTTTGCCAGTATTATCCCGTTGGGGTCGATTGGCTGTAAGCAGTCTTTGACTGTCCTCCAATTTTATTCGGTTGTTGGCTGTTCATATTCATTTGTTAGCTATTTCTATTCAACTCGTGGCTATTTTTTTGTACAATTGTTCGGTTATATATAATATCTCTATCGTTTCGAAAATAAAAAAAGCTAGAGTGTTCATGAAAAAAACTTTTGCTTGTGCCTTTTTTTTTCTTCTTTGGAAAAGAAAAAAGAAATAATTTTTTATGCACAAGATGGTTACACTATTGTCCATAATTTTATCTTTTGTTTGATATGATTAGTTGTTAGTGAGAATTTAATTTTAAATTAAAGTATTATTTAAAAATAAATAAATTTATTTAATGTAAAAATTAGGAGATAAATGGTTAGAAGTAATTGCCAGTTAAAATTATTTGAATAGAACAATGAATTAAAGTTGATGTGATGTGCAAACATGATTATTATTCAATCTAATTGATAATATTCAGAATAATAGAATTGTATTAAAGTTGAGTAAAATTTAATTTTTTTTTTTTTATATTTTTTTACGTTTATAAATAATAACACCCTTAATCAAGTTTAAGTGGGGGCAATCAATAACCGGTGATTATATCGTATAAAAAAAATATTTGTTTTACGTCACATTTAGTAATAATTAAGTTTTTATTTTAAATAATTTGAGATGAGAGACACCCGATAAACACACGTGGACAAATTCCAAGCAGGAAAGCGCGGCGGCTTTTGCTCTCTCTTCACTCAACCACCGCCCCGCTCCCCACCTCCCGGCAACTTCTTTTTCCCTTTTTTTTTATTATTATTTATATTTATTTTATTATAATTTCCATTTTTTTAATTGTGTGAACTTTAGTCTATTTTAGGCTAGTTTGTTTGCCTCGATTAGATAGATTAGGCATTTAATCTTTGATTCAATCTTGTGTTTGTTAATTATGATTGTGATCCACATGATTAAATTAAGTGGAGATGTTCTGGTCTCGTTACGAAATTATTCCGTCGGGTTTCGTAACCGTCAGATCACCATGTAACCATTGGGGATAAGTAGATGATCTACCGGTACAAACTCTGACTGAATGTTTTCGAAACGAGACTGTAAAAATTTTCCTAAATTAAGACTATCCTGTTTTGGTGGGGTGTGTGTGCGTGTGTGTGTGTGTGTGTGTTTTTCCATTCCTATAGTTTAAACTAGTATGAGTCTCGTGCAATGCACGGGTAAGAGATATTAACTAATATTTATAAATTAAAAATTCTTATTATAGTATTTATAAATTAAAAATATGGAATCAATTACCTATTATAATTTATTGAAAATGTTATATAAAATTTAATTGTACAAAATTACATAAAAATATTTATTTAAAATTAATACACAACCCGTGTGGTGCACATAATGATAATAAATCACATTATACTCGCTTCAAAATAAGTATCATTTCAAATTTTTTGTTCATAAACTCGATTGGACTTTAATGTAATTCCATAAAATAGTTATTTTGGTAAAAAGTTATCATTAATTTAACAACCTATGTAAATATAAGTATTGATATAAATTTTATCATTTCATTAATTAAAATGATCTATTTTTGTATAAACTATTCAAATAAAAAAAATAAGTAGTTGAGTAATATATTAAACTATAAATAATTGGCTATTTCGTTTGCGTCTAATTTAATATTGACCTATAAATTAATTAGTAATTTATTAAACTATAAATAGTTGACTATTTCGTTTACGTCAAAGTTAATATTGACCCGCAAATTATGAACAATTACTTTTTTATTTTTTATTGTAAATAAAAATCTTTTTAGTTTTCTTCAATATATTATATACTAAATTTAAACCATTCAACTAATAAAGGTAATAGATGCAAGTTTTGTCAATATATTATATTCTAAATTAAAATCATGCAATTAATAAAGGTAATAGCTGCAATATTTGACCAAAATGATTTTGTACATTAATTAGTTGCTATTTTTTTTCATAAATATCAAATAGCCGGAAAATCAAATATTTTTTTGTTGATTTTTAGTTGCTATTTCAAATAAATATCACTATTTTTTATATATTAATAGATAGATAATAAAATTTTAATTCATTAATACACCATAAAATAATAATTTTAAAGTGTTTTCATAAATTTTGGATAAAATTACATAAAATTAATTTTTAAAATATTATAAAATATTATTTCTCAATTTAAATATTTTATATTATTTAAAACATTAAATATAAAAGAATATCATAATTAAATATATAGCGTAATTTTGTTTTTGTAAAGTTAGAAAATAATACATTTTTACGTAAGTCCTAAATTATTAAGTATATGAATTTAAAATACTTGAAAATTAATAAACGTGAGATACTGACTCTATAAATATAAATATAACAATACAATAAAAATTGTTTTATTTAAAAAACAAATGAATAAAATATATGAAGTTATAAATAATATTAGTTTTTATACATGAATATTTTTGAAAGTATAATTAAAATTATCTTTTTGACAAATTTAGTGTAAAATACGGGCACCATTTTAATTAATTATCAATTTGTTAGTTATTTATTATAGTTGCATATTCATCATACATAACTTCACAAAATTAAAATGTAAATTATTTTAAGTTTTATTGAACAAATATTAACATA